AAGAAATGCAAGGAACACTTAAAACGTCCCATTAAAGTATCCGTGACACACACACATAATGCTTTTGAAAGTATCCGAAACTCTTAAAATTCCCCAAATTGTATCCGAAATCCTTAGATTGCTTTGAAACTATCCGAAACCTTTAAAATATTTCAGCGAATGTTCGAAACCCTTATAACACCCCCAAATGGTATCCAAACCCCTTCATACATCCAAAATAGTCTCTGTAACCCTTATAATGTCTCTAAAACCATCCGAAACCCTTTTATAGTGTTTCTTAAGGTATCCCAAATCATTAAAAGGTTTCAGAAAGTATCCGAAACACATACAAAGTGCATTGAAGTAATTGAAACCTCTTGTAATATCGCGTCTCGGACTCTGGAGGGTAAACATCGAGGGAGGGAACTCGCTTCTCAGTTTTAATCAAGAACAAAGTTGATGGGAACAGAGGGGGAAAAGTTTATTAAAGAAACGGAGTAATTATAACACACACACACACACACTACAACGATACCAGCCCTGAGAGTAAGTCCGGATAGAGGGAAGGAAGGGAGAGGAAGAGGGGCAAGGAAGGTAGAAGAAAGGAGAGGAGGAGACATAAGGGAGATAAGAAAAGGAAGAAAATGTGAAAAGGAGTTAGAGAGAAAATGAGAGAATAAGGAGAGAGAGAGAGAGAGAGAGAGAGAGAGAGAGAGAGTAAATACAGTGAATATTGCCCCTTGTCCTTTTTTCCTCTCCCATTCCTGGGCTGGTAGGGGGGAAGAGGGAGGAGGAGGAGAGGAGGTATCGACGCAGTACACAGATGGAGTGATAATCCCAGACAGCGGATATGAGTTACTGAGGAGGATATTGCGGAAGGGGGGGAGAGGTGAGACTAGAGAAGGTAAACAGGGGAATGGGTGAGAGAGAGAGAGAGAGAGAGAGAGAGAGAGAGAGAGATGTGCGTATTGCTGTAACGTAATTAAGTGTGTGTGTGTGTGTGTGTGTGTGTGTGTGTGTTTGTCTGTTGTAAAAAAATTAAAAAAATTTGCGCCAGCGTACATGTAATAATTTCAGAATAACATGACCATTATACGTTATATTATCTCTCTGTATTAATGTTGTTTAATTTTACTTTGGTATATTCCTTCACGTCTGTTTCACTCATATTCACGTCACATGTATGTCCTATCTACGTCACAGTTATGTTATATTTACATCATTAATATGTCCTGTTTAGGTATCATCTGCCACATGTACGTTGAATCTTTCCAGACTTTACATTATTTCCCTCATATATGTTGTTTATATCCTCACTATACTGTATAGAATATATTACTCTCATATATTACGTGTACAACGCTAAAGGGTCCAGAGGTTAGGGCCTAAGTTATCATTTGGGATTAATTTTATGTAGTGTGTCTTTCTGCTGGTCAATATTATTATTATTTTTATTATTATTATTATTATTATTATTATTATTATTATTATTATTATTATTATTATTATTATTATTATTATTATTATTATTATTATTATTATTATTATTATTATTATTATTATTATTATTGTAGTTGTAAGTTGTAGGTCATTTATTTATGGCTGTTGTTTATTATTGTTATGTGGTGGTTGTAAGTTAGGTCTGAGGCTCCCTTAGTGTTAAACCTCATATCACAAGGTCAGTATCGAGAGTTTCCTTCATAATAGAGTGTGGTAACAAGCAGGGCTGTGGAGTCGAAGACAAAACCTTCGACTCTGTTTTTTTAAATTTAATTTTTTTTTAAATTGATTTTTTTATCTATGTCGGACTTAATTGGATTTAGTCCCTAACCCCGTTGTAAGTCGGGAGCACCTGTAATTTTAATATAAACGTCATGTATTTTGCAGAAGAGATAAAAATTAATCACTTGTATCACATTACAGTAGTGATTTAAGAGTAAAGTGTACATGCACTATAGTATTCCACATACACGATCATGAGAAATGGCCAAAACTACAAATTTAAGGTATACAGAAAGCACCACAGGTAGACAGTTTCATTCACTTTTTAATCGAATCACCTGGAGTCTACCAAAATGTCAGTTTTTTCTGCTATGTTCTTAAGTTGTTCGCGTGATTTGACCTGAATTTATTGACGATGAATTGAAACACATTCGTTCCATTGCACAGAAACCGGGTACCCTTCTGCCTTTGTCGATGTATTAAAAAGGGTTAAAAATCCTTTCATTCCTCTCCAAACCAGGCAAATTCCCACACTTAAGAATATTTTGACTCTGCCCTATCGTAATGAATTTGTCCCGTTAGTTCGTCCCTCAAGCTTCTAAATATTAATGTTGTTTTCAAGTATGACTCAACCATTACCAATATGTTAAAAGAAATAGCCCAAGTTTGACTGTAAATGGAAGTGTTTATTGTATTCCATGTAGCAAATGTAATTGTAATTATGTAGGACAGACAGGAAAACACTGCAGCCTCAGAATCAAACAACATAAGTATAATATCAGAACAGCATCTGAAAGCAGTGCCTTTGTTCGTTCATGTTAGAATAATAATCATCCCATTGCTTGGGAAAAAAGCTTAGAAGTATTTAAATCATCTTGTGTCCAGGCTGTGGAGTCGAAGACAAAACCTTCGACGACCACTCCTTGGCCTATTTGTAACAACTATTTCTACCATCCTAATTGTAATTTGTATGTTGTAACCCGCGTAGGTAAAAAGTAAAACACCGTGGCTATACTGCTACAGCTTTATTAATGATCTGACGATATTTAAGAACTACAAAAGATGATAGGCTTGACTTTCAAAGTTTCAATCAAAAATAAATAAATTTATTAAGAATTCAAGATATTAACTAGAAAACACCATTTACATGTATATCTAAAAGTTCGATCTCAGCATATGAATTTTGTTTAGCTCATAATCTGATGTGGATCTAAATGATGATCCTACAATTCCTTTTAAAGTAAAGTTATATATTTATGTACATTAAAGAAATGAATACCTTATTAAGGAAAATGGATAAACCTTACATGATTAAGTTATTAAATTAAATTTGCCTTAATCTCACCAAAAACAGGTTGTAGCTAATTGTTTTGTAGCTGAGAGCCTCTGTGCAGTTTTCAACGAAACAAAATTTGATATAATTCAAAATTTCAAATGGTAAAAGAAGAGACTATCATCCAAAATTATAGTGCTATACTGTGCCTGCTACAATAAATTCATAATAATGCTTATAAAATGGAAATAAATTCTTTTAATAATTTAAGAAAATTAGTGGATCAGTGGAATCACTGCAATGAATATGCCTGAGTTCATATATTTGTTCTTAGGAACAGAATATTTCAGTCGGAGTCGAGTCTGACAATTTACCGACTGACTCCTACTCGAAGTCTCCGACTGACCGACTCGACTCCACAGCCCTGCTGTGTCACAGAAAGACTTCTGGTTGAAGCTAGTTTGATCACGAATTAAAATCAATAAACCTCAGTGATGGCACAGTTAAAACTGATATGTTACAAATTTATTTGTCAGTACCCAAGGTTAAAAATGCTTTGAAAACCTTTGATCTAGATGTATGATAGTTACTAGTGGTCCATTTTGACCCGACCTGACTAGTCACGCCACCCCCCATCTCTCAAGCCCCTACGTGTGTGTTGGTGTGGGATTAGTGAAGACATCATTATGACCTGACCTCATGTTTTAAGGTCACCCCAGTATATTTAAGCCTCTCTCTGTCCATGTGATCAAGTTGCTCTGAAGATGTCTTGCATAAAGACTAAAGCCTAGGTGCTCCGTTGTTCTTTCCCGCAAATTTTATCTAATATTATATATAATATATTATATATATATATATATATATATATATATATATATATATATATATATATATATATATATATATATATATATATATATATATATATATATATATATATATACACACAGTATTACCGCCTTTATGCGGTTTCACTTAGCCGCTTTTAACAAGATAATGTACCTCGCCAGAGCTGAACTTTCACTTAACGCGGTTTTTCCACATAATGTGAGTGTCCGCCCAGAGCTATTTTTAGATTTGCCCCACC